GATTAGGCTCACCAGGAATTGGATTTTCAAATCAACCACTAATCAGGGAAGTTGGCATCGCTTCCCATGCTGCAATTGCGCGCTTGATCGCAGCCTGGAGGTATTCTGCCGCTATCACCACAGGTGCGTCGTGGAGCACAGCGAGAGCAACTTGCTCTTCATATGCCCTATAACGCCCACACCGGTTGGCAAGCACTGGTGGCATCCTTTCGTAGGGGGTCAAACTCGCTGAGTAGTTCAGATGACACCTTATCGTGCGACCCTTGGGAGATATGACAATCCAAGTTCTCGGACTCATATACAGATTGACCAGTGTGTTTATGCTGGAGGTCACGCAAGAAGATGAATTGTGAATTCGGCGACCTTTAACAAAGCCATTCTCAGTGGGGTGGACAAGCTGGGGCAACAACCCACTCACTCGATGTGTCAGAGTTCGGGTGAGAGCCTTCACCTCGACTGGTATGAATGAAATCGGGCGATAGTTGCCTGTGAGACGACGGTCACCCACATTTGAACAGCAGGGACATTGCCGAACGGCGCTGTGAGCCAAGGAGGTCATCACATTCAAACTGGTAGTCAAGCACCCGACGTAGAATCTCCCCGGAGAGGGAGGGGTCGATGTGGAAGAACCCTGCTGAGACTCCATCGAGGCCTGGAGCTTTGCCTGGATGCGTTTTGATTGCACCGCCAAGCTCCTCACTTGAGACCGGCCAATCGAACTCATTGCGCTGCTACTCCGTGAGGCGTTGCGTGATGAGACGCAGAAAGCGGCGCTGAGCCATTCACGACAGGGGGGGAAGTCTCGTTCACATATGATCTCACTCCACCGACTGTGGAAGGCCGTTTTAATGAGAGCCGGATCGATCGTGTAGTTGTACCTCTCCAATGGGCACATCATATAGTCACCTTTTAGGCGGACGAAAGAAGTGTGCAGTCGACACTTCGTTGTGGGAGGCGTGAAAGTCAAACTGGAGGTCGTTCTGATGCTGTCGCCACTCAGCTATACCAATTCGAATGCCACCATTGAGGTGTGGAGCTGGTCGGCAGTCATCCGACCCGACTCATGAGCCCGTAGTGCACACGACACTCCCTCTCCGCTACGTCCATTGTGTGGGTCCTCTGGGCCTAGAATTGTGTGTGGTAGGCTTGGAGGAACTGCCGAGTGCGTTTTTTCCACCCAGCCCACACGACTCCGACATTTGCAGCCGTACTGAGATGGGTGAGGAGAGTCTGTGCCTCCGCACGAATCGTAGCCGTCACCTCGGGGATACGAAGAAGCTCTTTGGGAAGCTTCCAATACGACTTTGATCGTTCCCCAGCCACAGGTAACAATGTCAACACGCGGCACAGGAGGTCGGTTGGGTCAGGACACTGAAAGTAGGTGGCCGATCGATACGCCGCTTGGACAAGTTAGGCATCGGCGAAAATGTAGTCTAGTCGATTGCTACCCTTAAGGTATGAGTAGATACGTGCCTTAGGGTGGTGCGTTCGCCATGCATCCCCCCAGAGATTGTAGCCACGGCATTAATTCGCGTCGCCCCGCGTGATGGGAGCTGTGACCATTGGATGAGTCGACGGCACGATCAACAGGTAGGTTAATGCTCATGACGACTCGCACGCCCCCGAGGTGAAAATCCCGTGGCAAACCCCGGAAGAAGGCTTCCCGATTGTCATTGGACACAGGGGCATACACGTTGTGGAAGTAGACGTCACGTCCGTCCCATTGTGTGTGAACCACCACGTATCGGTCACGAACATCGTATTGTGGCAGGTGTCGCAAGTGATCAAACCCAGGCATCTCTCTTTGAAAGAGGAGCATGACGCCACTGCTACGCCAAGGCTCGACCTCGAAGGAG